CCAATCAAGTACCTCCAAATCGTCATGTCCACACGCACGATCCAAATGCCTGTGCTGGATCCACCATGGGCTGGATCTGGCGGATCCTGGTCTAGTCCTGAGTCATCTGTGGTCAGAGTTGGGTGCACTTACTTTTTTAGCCTCCAGGATGAGAAATGCCAGGTCATTGTTAAGGAGTAATCAAGTGGTGCCAGTGAGCAGTTTGGCCAGAGGAATTGTCTCTACCAAGTGGTAAGGACTAGTTCAGGTCCATCTTCACAAAAAGGATTCCTTCAATCCCATTTCTGTGTCTTTTTAGTACTTAATTCAAAACATCACAATGGGCACTCCAGTTCAGATGCCCCCCTTGTAGAATGCACATCAAAAGCTGAATATCGAGTTATATTTTTTTCTGTGGGTTGTTGGTTTTTTTAAAAATGTATAGCTCGTATGCTGCTGTTTAGGGAGGTGTAGAATACTTGCTTCTATCCATGGTAGCTTTGTCAACCAACCTAACTTCAGATTTGTTTTTGACTGATTGACCTCTTCAGTTAACTGTCAGCTACCACTTCTTTGTATTGTGTTTATTATTGTTATGGTTAGCAATGATAGTGATTTCCTTTGGCTACTTCAGAGTCTATTCAATGGAAGAGCGAGAGGACCAGAAAGATAGGTTGGACTTTGTTCGACATCAGCTGAAACTTTTAACAGAAGATATTAAGAGAAAAATAAAGCATGTGACCGAGGATGTGGAGAGCAAGGTGAGTTGTATAAAAGAGGTACTTTTGTTTAGAAGCAAACATTGGAATGCCTTAAATTCTTGGAAAATGAGAATATTTTTCATCTTCACATTTGTGGTTCACCTATTAGAGTCTAGAGTCTTGAAGGTTCCTGCTCTTCTCCCTACGCTGCTAGTCTCCCATGCGCACAGCACACAAACAAGAAATCAAAGCGTGTAATCAGGTTGAGTAAGGACTGCTGCTGCTATAGCTACAACGGCAAAGCCCCCTGTTTTAGACAAGCTCTGTCTGTTTTTCCTATAGACCAGCTCCCCCGAATGTCTGGAGTTTTGCTGTCAGCTTTCTTCTGCTGACAAAGCTGCATGTACACCAGGGATTTTCTGATATCACTAATATAATAGTAATGCCAGGAAGGCCGAGTACTACTCACACAACGTTTTTCAGATATACTGAGCATCTGCAACTCCAGAGCAATCAGTAAGAGCTGTATATGTTGAGCAACTTTAAAAACCTGGCAATTCATCTAAATCTGTTTTTCCATTTTATCTATAAAATATTCAAATGATGAGCAACGGATCCTTTAAAGATCACTTCCTTGTGAACATTAGAAATGGGGCTGGCAACAAACTCTGCCTCTCAGTCTTGGATTGGTTCCAAATCTGAACTTCACGACTAACCCTCAGCTTTTATTGTAATAAGACCCCATTTCTAAACAGTTGCGAACTCTACAGAAACGTGGTATTAATCTTACTGGCTTAGGCCAGTAGTTCTCAACCTTTTTAGACCTAAGGCACCCCTTAGAAATGCCAGCCATTAGCTTTCACTTGGTTTTTTTGGCTATGGAAAAATAATAGAACAAGTTTTCTGTTACAGAGAACTCGGCAAGACCAAAACAGGTCAGAATAGTTTAGGCACTATGGTTTCTGGTAGAAATCTCTAAGTTTAGCCATTTTAATTTTGTGAATTGCATAGGTGTGCACACTTAACAGTGCTAATACTGCAAGGCATGCTTAAAAGGATCTCATGGCATCCAGGGTGCTGTACTCTGACTGAATAGGCCTGCCTCCTTAGTCTCATGTCATATGGCAGCCCTTCCATACCACTAATCATCCCTGTCCTTCTCTGGACCTTCTGTAGTTCTTTATCTTTTTTGAGGTGTGGGGACCAGAACCATTTACAGTGTTCAAGGTGTGGATGCACCATGGATTCATAACGGGACATGATGATACTTTCTATTTTGTTTCCAGTTCCCTTCTTAATAATCCATAACATTTTGTTGCCTTTTTGATGGCTGCTGACTGAGCTGATATTTTTAGCAAACTGTCCACAATGACTCCCAAATCTCTCTTGTGTGGTAACAGATAACGTAGACTTATCATAGTGTAAGTACATTTTGGGTTATGGTTGCTTAGGTGCATCACTTTATATTTTTAGTTGCCGTTTGTTCAGTGGTGCCAGATCCTTCCGTAGTTCCTCGGTCTGCCTTGGTTTTTCCCACTTCGAATATTTTTTTATTTGAAATAGATTTGGCCACTACTCACTCTCTTTCACATTCTGCATGTGGAAGAAACAATATGAGACTGACCTCACTCCAGCATCTTAAACCTCAGTGCTGCTCCAAGATGCTTTGGTGCTGTTCAGAACTTGCAAAACAATGGCTTCACTTGTGGATGGCATCTTTCCCTTCTTCTGTATCTGAGAGAAGTGGGGAAACGTTGCCCATACATTTAATGTATTAACTATTGTGCAGACCAGACTCTCATAAGCATATGGTCAGAGTTGAGGACATCATCAAGGCACTTGGAAAAAAACAAGTACTCCCCTATAGTCTGCTGACCTCCTTAGTGACCAGTTGCTGCCAGAAAGATCCAAGTCTTCATGGTAGAGCCATTACGCACAAGTGACCTTAGGCCTAAAGTTCTCTGAATTTCACTCAAAAGGATCTTACCAGTTTTTTCCCTCATTCATGGAGATGCTGAACTCTGCACCTCAGGACTCTTTCTTGCTATTTGGCATGAACACAAGCTTCAGAACCTCCCTTAGGCTGTTTCCGGCCTTTCCTGACACACAAGTCCGCTTGTGACAGCACAGACACTATCTAAAGTGATTCTGGAGTTCATTCGAACTTGCTATCCAGCTGCTCACTTGGACCAGCTTGCACAGATCAGTCCCATTCACCAGGAGTCAGGTAGCTTTTTCAGCTTCACTAAACAGCACGCCAGTCTTGAAGACTTTATGGAGCAGCTACTTGGAGTTAGGGACTACATGTTTAGCCACTGCTGCTCCTTAATCAGCACACTCTTGGACAGGCTGCTCCAGACTTACGGTCATTGTATCTAAGTATCCGACTGCTCACCTCCTGGACTTCAAAGTGTTTCATGGTGGACAGTCACTCAGAGGAAAAAAGAATGGATACCTACCCCAAACTAACTGGTTCTCTGCCATGTATTATCCACATGTATTAAACGCCCAGCATCCTTTGCTGATACTATAGAGTATAGAGTCCTGTATCAGCTGGATCCCGTGGATCCAAAGGAGATAGATGTTTTGACTGCTCTGCTCTTGGCCCAGCAGCCACAGACGCACAAAAGCATGGAGAGTGCAGGTGCAATTTCAACAGATACTGCTGTTCAAAAACGTTCTTATATGCATGGATCACATGATCCCACTGCTGGTGCACATGCTCAAAAAGTATCTTGAGGAATTTAACAGTAAGGGCTAGGCTTCCCCTTTAATTTATTCTTGGAATCTTTTTGTGGAGATGTGTGGAAAAACAAGGTCTAAGCAGGCTTTTTCCATTAGAGGCCACCTACAGAAGACCTACTCTTTATTATATTAGAGTGGGCTTTTAAACTGCAGTCTGGTAAGTGCATTTTTTGGTTAAGCAGTATAATGAGCAAAAACACATGAACTCAGATTAAAAGCAGTGTTACAGTTAGTATAATGTAATTTTTAATTGAAATATATTTGTTTTATTGTTGTCTACATTATAATTTTCCCAGGTCTCATCTGCTATGACTGATGAGATTTGTCGCCTCTCTGTTTTGGTTGATGAATTCTATGCTGATTTTCACCCTTCTGCACAAGTACTGCAGCTGTATAAAAGTGTAAGTTGTTTCCAAGTGGTTTGACAAAGAAAAACTTTATCGCTGCCCTAGTCATGCATTCAAGTTTTAGTTAGTTAATTTTTATAATTCCTACACCGTGTAGAACTTTTGCTATCTGTTGGGTCTGTTTTTTTTTTTCTATTACTGAATTAGAATATAATGACAGCCAGTTACAAAAAAAATAATTGTTTCCGAAGTAAAGATTTTAGGTGGGAATTTCAGGTTTTTGTGATGTCTTTAAATGAACATTTTATTTACTGAAAACCAGGTTTGTTTCTTCCCTGTGTACCCATTTGTGGTCCATAAAGAACTTACTAGCCATGCTGAGAGTGACATTTTTATCAAAAGCAATGTCAAAGTCACCAAAACAGCAACATGTAAAATACTTTGAAGTCAATGGCATTTGGAGGGGGAGCGGGGGGTTACTTTTTAAAAGGTCATTTTTTGATTAAACTTCATCAGTTCTTCACTTTAATCATGGCTGAGGCCTTGCATTTATAGGGCCCATGTGTGCAGAAGCAGACCCAGACCCTTACGATCAGTTAAAGGACTGAAGACTCTGTGCCATCACCATGGCTGCAGTCTATCAGTGTTAATGAGCTTGGTCCCTGTCAGACAGGGCTTTGTAGAACAATATGATAGCATTATACTCTGATTAAACTGATTTATTGAAAACCCACAGTTGTAATGATTCCTATGTTACAGAAAGCAACCCTTTTGTAATTTCAGTCAAAAGATAAATTATGGTTATAAACTGAGAGCCTGGTCATTCCCAAACATGATGTTTTTCTGCCTACCACAGATAACAATACATTGTTATAAAGATAAGGATTTCTTGCATTTAGCTCAAGTCAACTGACCTTTAATTGACATGCATGCTTTCTCTGTGACATGGTAGGAACTCAACAAACATATAGAGGAAGGTTTGGGGAAAAACCTGGCTGACCGCTGCTCCAGTGAAGTCAATCAGTCAATGCATCACTCCCAGCAGGAGATGATTGGTAATTTGGAGATGGAGGAATGTTACTTTTTTTCCCCAAGCATTTAAATTTGAAAAGTCTCCCACTCTCCTGTAAGAGGGCTTTCCATACTTAAGATGAATTGTAAAGCAGTAGCTGTAAGTACTACAGTCTGAGATGAGGGCTGCATGTGCCAGGCCCTCTACCTGTAATGGGTAATGAAGAGTTAGTTCCTGTTTGGAACAGTTTTCATTAGTAAATTTGTACTATTACTTCTGGTCTCCCACCAGGATTATTGCATACTATGGCAGGAATTTACAGGGTTATAATTCTTGCAGCGCTTTATGGCTTCAAAGTGCTGAGCAGCAATTAATCCCCATAAATTCCCCATGAAGCAGGTTGAAATAATAATTATTCCCACTTGGAAAAACTGAAGTGGAGAGGTTGAGTGTTTTTCATCATGCACAAAGTTGGTGTGAAGCTGAGGGTAGCATGTGAGGCTTCCCAACTTATTCTGGACGTACTGCTTGTTTTTTATCCCTGTGTACCCTGGCTAGTTTTACTCAGTTGCTCTTCTCCAAATAGCTGCCTGTTTTCAATGAATATTCGTTCCATTTCTGACTTAATGGTGGTGGTGGTCACAACCCCCAGTGCTGAACCCCCCCTTCCCCTGAACTGACTTCCGGTACGAAAACAGATGGAGGTCTTGGATTTCAGTGAAACCCTTGTCATCTTTCCTCTTCTGTATGTCCCTGCAACCTGCCCAAGATTTTTTGTTTTCCAGAAAAGTTGACTCTGATCTAGTCCATTAGCATCAGCAGTGTTTTATGCTGATGCATGATTATGTATACTTTTGACTGTAGGCTGCAATGATAGTCAGTAGTAAGTCAGTTTTCGCCACTATTTCATCTTCAGTGTTTGACATTCAAAGGGCCACATTCAGAATCAGTGCCAGGTGTGTACATGCCAAGGCAGAGTAAAGTTTTGAGTGGAGTTCAGCTTTGTTGCACTTTGTTCCTAGAAAATTTGAAGCCGCTGTTGCCTTCTGGTGTTCAGAATCAGCTCCACTTGCTAATTCCATGCAGGAAGTTTGACCTCAGCTACGACTTGAACTGTCACAGTCTGTGCGCGGATTTTCAGGAGGATATCGCGTTCCGCTTTTCCCTGGGATGGGCCTCACTTGTCAACCGCTTCTTAGGCCCGAAGAATGCCCAGAGGGTGCTGCTAGGACTGGCAGATCCAACCGTACAGGTAAGTACTTCCCAGACCTTTAGGAAGGATCGGGTTGCTACTTGGTGTTTTACATGTGAGAAATAACTTGGTGTGTCTCACCTGCTCCTAACGTTTCATCTGCTCACTGCAGCCTTTCCTTGGTTCCTTTGGCTGGAAGCTTGTTTCGGTGAGGGCTGTTTTAACTGGCTTATATTCGGGGACAAAAATGGAGCCA